GTTTCTTTAGTCGCGTTTGCCAATGCACAAATTCAATTGTTGATATCTTTAATTACCGATTACCAAAAATTATAAAAAGTTGATATTTTGAAAATATATATCATGACGAATCTAACAAGACTCCACATGACTATATTTTTCATTACGTATAAATCACAAAATATGGTCAAAAGAAAGTGTGTGAATAATGCTAAACTCAAAACATGTCAACTAACAAAAACGAAGATAGTATAAAAGGTGGTTACAGTCAAAGACTTATTAGGGGCTTTTATATATGTAGTCAGAGCCTTAGAAGAGATTATAATATAATGACATCTCTCTATAGAACGGTGGCTAATTAAAAATTGTTATATTTGATACATCTTAGCTTATATATCAAGCAAATTCTTCATAAACTATTTGGTCATGATGAGTTTTTTTTATTTTTATTATTATTCTTTTTATTTGTTGTTATATTCTTACACATTTATCAATTTCAATTCATGTTATATTTAAATTCAAATTGTTTCAAGTTATCTTTTGAAAAAATTTCTCCCGGTATTTTTTGAGAAAGCGAAATTTTTTTGCCCCTACATTAAATTATAAAGAAATAACTATGTTTGAAATGGATCTATTATTAAAAGATTTAAAGTATTCTCACCACGAATTAGATTGTACATGGGCACACGACCATCACACACACCGACAATTAATTGGCTTGACTCATGCACATTGCGAGTTAGATTTTATTGGTTCATTAATAAAACAACAAAACTTCAATTTTATGAAACTCTTCAAATGTATAGGGCCCTAAAATATTTAAATGAGTTACACATTTCTTATTACAAAAATTAAAGTAGTTAAAGCGACATTTACATATGAAATTAAAATTTCCATGTGTTTTCACTCTATTTCTTTACTTTTTTAATTTTTAGTAGGCCACATATAGTCCATACTTTGATAGGGTATGTTGTAAGTTACCTTATGCCTTTGGGCTCTAAGTAGCCCTTGGACCAAATGTGACCCAAAAGTGAAGGAAAAATAACGGAGCAAATATAGAAGGCAAAAAACAAAACAAAGAGGAATATTCCAAAATCCTATTAAAAAGGGTAAATGAATCTCCCCACAAACCCTGTTACACTACACCTATATTGCAATAACTATTTTTAGGCTATATAGGTGCAGCCGCGCAAGGGATATTTTTAGTGACTAGTCTAGGATTTTTTAAAAATGCGTAAACAGGTCGTGTTTACGTTTACTTTTATGACGACATTGTTTGCTCGTTAAATACGTAAAAAATTATACAAAAATAAATATGATAACTAAAATATTGCACAATAAAACAAATTATGTAAAATGGGCGATTTTGAGTTGATATGTTCAATTCACGACCAATTTAGGTTAATTTGTGTCCATGTTGTGTCAGATTTAGGTTTTTCTTCGATAGCTTTTAAGTCAAGTTTGTATTGTCGTGTTATTGTGTCATGTCAATGATTTTTCGTCCAACAGTCAACTAAGAAGGGTATGTGTTTTCCATTTGTTTAATTTATAATTTTTGGCGGGAAAAAAATACAAGTAATTATTGGGCAAAACCTTACCCTTGGAGCTCAAGTTACACTTTTATGTCTTGGTGTAACATTTATACCTTAATATTTACAAAATTTCCACTCCCCAAATTTTTTTTTTTTTTGAATAAAGATGGATTCATAAATAAAAAGTCATACGACATCTACAAAGAGATTTACATCAAACAAATACGTGACAATTGAATCAAATAAAAACATCCTTTCAGCAAGCTACGATCGTTGTTGCAAATCGTACATTCTTTATACCCTCTTTCACATCGCTGTGACTTACAACCTTCTTTGACGAGGGGGTCTATCAATATGTTGTATCCGTGAATAAAAGTTTCCTTTGATTCGTCTGGTTGTAATCGAAAGATTAACCTCTTTTTCGAACACACACAAATCTTTACCCATGAAACAACTCTACAACAATCCACCAAACAAAAAAGCAAATCTTCCATCAAAAGAGAGAAGAAAAACTTTCTTTTGAAGGAGAAAAATCCTCCTAAAGAAGAAGAAAAGTCATTTTCTTTCGAGGGAGAAACGTTCCTCCCGAAAGAGGAAGAGTTATTAAAAACTTAGAGCAAACAAAAACAAAGAGAAAATGCACATAAAAAACAAAGATTGGGGCGATCCACCAGTAAAATCCGATAAAAGCCTCTCCAAACTTCAACAATGGAAGTTAGGGTTTTTAGGGAGAGGAGAGGGGAAATGACTCTCACGAAATGACCCTCACGAAAGATTGTAAACTTGAATATTAAAGAACTTAATTAAAAAATTGTAAAAGATTTTTTTTTTTTTTTTTTTTTTTTTACATTTTCTAATATATGGCAACACTTTTTTTTTAGTTGTACACTTTACATGTATCATAGCACTCGTGCAGTCAACATTAAAAGAAAATTGGAGCAACTAATTCTTTCTTTTCTTTTGTTTTGTAATATAGTCTTTTAAGATATACACTAACTGTTTTACTTTATAAATGAATTGAGAAAATATATTTAATAGAAAACTTATACTTTTTTTTTTTTTTTTTAACTTGCAACTTCTCAAATGTCTTATATTCACAATACATAAAAATTATAAAAATTTGATGCTATAAAAGTATACAACGAATTTAATATGATCATACATGACTATATTTTTCTTTAACAATAAATCATAAAGCTAGTCGAAATAATAGAGCACATAGATAATGCATAAGTCACAATGATGCAAAAATTAAAAGAAAGGTCTTGTTTTGTTCACCTTATTTTTACTCATTTACGAAAATTCAAATTCAAATAAATTAAGTTTGGAAAAAAAATGATTATAACAATTGATACAGGTTATCTAAGCTCAATACAAAAGAAAGACGAGTTTTAGTAAATTTTGATAAGTTCAAATAAAATAAGATGATTCCATGTAAGTAAAAATTATGTGAATAAAGCATACCTTAATAATCTATCTTGGCTAGTCAGTCCACAAATACAAAGTATATAGATTTAATTCTAACCAGATTTTATACCAAAAAAAAATAAAAAAAATCAGATGTTTCCAGGAATTTCAGATATTTTTTTTCTAGCTTAAAATTTGCCAATTTTTAACGGGATTCCTCTCTATAAACACATATTTTCCAAGTCAAAGATCAGGTGCATCATAATCTCCTATTTAATACCACTAACTGCCGACAAATCATTGACATTCTTTGTTTTCCATGCAGTTTACTAGAAATGAGTTATACAATGCCAATTTCTTATGAATCATATAATGCATAGAAATATCATACTGTATAATATTATATGTAACGTTATTTCAATTTTTATTACCAGCAATATATTGGTAGGTCGTATCGTATGAATATCATGTATAATTAAATACTCTTTCCCTTCATTTTTATCAAATGCAGCCTTTTTTATTTTATTTTTTGAAGTGTTATATTTTTAGTTTTGGCAAACACTTATTTTTTTAATGTCATTTCTTTATCCTCTCATGGTTTCATTCAAACTCACTTTTACTTTTTTATTTTTTCTTTTTCTCTAATATCCCTTAATTTTCAATAAAATATGTCCCAGAATAATTAACACAATTCTACTTTAGATAAATGTAATTAAATTTTAGTAAAAAATTATAAAAAGTTTGATATTATGAAATTGTATATTAATACTCGCTTTGTATTTTTGCAAGTGAAATATTTCGAATTTTTGCACTATTTACTAAATCCAGTTTGACTAATGTTAGTGCTTTATACTTAAGGAAAAATAGTCTTGCGAGTACTTATTGGAATCGTCTCAATAAATAGATTATTCATATTCAATTGTTATACTTTATTGATAATTAAATACATTATTTGATCAAAATACTACATTGACATAAATGCACAGGAGAAACATTTCACTTAAAAACAACGGAAGAGGTTAAGAGCATTGGCTGCTTCAACTTGTGGCCTTCTTCTCAAGAAGGTCCGCTGGACCTGTTCGTAATTCAAAACCTATTTAACAACCTATTTCATAATTAAATTTGTTTTTAACATGATACTTTATAAAATTGTGAATAGTGAAAAATAGTCTAACGTATCGATTATATTGGGACAAAGGGAATAATTTTATAATACTCAACTACTCCACTTACCTCTTATTATACTACGTATGAAAGTAAAGTCAATTAAATGTGTGAAACTATGTGTCATTCATAGTGTAACATTTGAAATAAAAAGTTTATTAATGGCCGAGTAGTCATCCTTATAATCAAATTAAAGTAGTGTGTAATTCGGGCGATGCACCGGATTTACTTTAATTTGAATATCAACAAATATTATTTGACCTATAAAGTGTAAACTATCTATATAATTAATATAAAAGTGAAAACTAATAACTATGAAACTAAATAAGTGCTTTTAAATGGATGTCTATTACAAAGTATTTAGTATATTTTAATTGAATACGAAACATAATTAAAAGATAGCAGAGATGGTAAGAACATTAGTTTATTTCTTATTGATCTTGTGTTCAAACTATATCTAATACATGTAAAGGGTCCATGTGGCACATATTCCGTTTTAGAAACACTTTTTAATATATAAGTATAGATTATGATTTTTTTCAGATAGTACAAATAAAGTTTTATGGTTAATTTCATTGATAAATATACCATTATTTTATTTTTTTGGTGTTTAGAGAGCCACAAGGGCAAGTGATGAGAATCGATCCCAGGATATTTTGAAATCGGAAGGGAAGCTATAACTACTTGATTTATCCCTCACTCTCACAAAATATACCATTAATGATTCAATGTTATTATTTTTTTAAATGGTACACAAAATATGCCATTTAAAGTTAAAATTTTAGTGAAAATGACCAAAATATCCCATATTGTATGATGCTTGACTGCTTGATAGCATGGGTATGTATCCAGACAAACTATGTGAACCGAATGTTCGGGTATGGACACTATTGAACCATAGTCCATACCCTAGAACCCAAGTCGCAACTCACAAAGCAAGAAACACCAACATCTAGAACGTTCCACACTCGACGGGTGCTAAACGTTATCCATGAACCATAACTACCTTTTATCATTCTCCACAAACCCAGTTTTCTGTCACAACATCCTGCTTCCTCTCCATTTTCATTGGGTAAGTTCTTTCCATCTTCCTCATTTCTTTACTATTTCATCCAAATTCACAATTAATTTCTAACAATGCATATTCTTGTATGTTCTTCATTGCTTAACTAAGTGGGCTTTTTTTATGCTTAATTTCTTAGATAATTTAGTTATTCTTTATTTAATTAGAATGTGTTGTTGGATTTTGGTTGGTTTTATGACTAAAGTAAATGAAACCCATTGTTAATATCCACGGAATTGTACTTGAATTTGCTTCAAAGTGTCTTAATTACCCATTGTTTTAGTATATAAGCTGCAACAAAGGGCAGTGATGTAATCGGGATTTAATCTCAGGCCTCGGTAATTATGGCCAATGGGTACCCGTACCATGGTAACGATACCACCCTCTAGGCTTAAACCAACTAGGCTAGTTGATGTTATGATTACACCTTATTTTAATTGACCCCATGACTATCTTTTCTTGATCACTGAATTTTGGAGTTTGTTTTACAAATTGGCGAATTACTGCTGCCAATTGGTTTGGTTCTATCTTCTATGTATGTGATGATGATTTGAAAAGTTGCATTTCTTTAATCAGGACTCCGTATAAAATGGCATCAAGTTTTGTTACCATGTCTGCTATCGGGTCATTGACATCTGTTGGAAGCCAAATTGACAAAAAAAGTATTAACCCGTCACACAAATTATCTTCATTGGATTGCATATCATCGAGTTTTCCTAGAGGTAGTCGAAGTTACGTAGTACCTAGAAAAAGTCATTCCTTAAAGATTAACGCGGCAATAAAAGAGTTGCATTTCAATAAGAATGGGGCTGCTATTAGGAAACTACAGGTTAGTACTTGTAGTACTCTCTGAATTACTGGTGTAATGATGGCAGTTGTATATTGGTTTAGTGTCTAACTTTGCTGCTCTTATTTGAAACTTTAGGCGGGTGTGAATAAGCTTGCAGATGTTGTTGGTGTTACTCTCGGTCCCAAAGGAAGGAATGTTGTTTTGGAGAGCAAGTATGGCTCTCCTAGAATTATTAATGATGGTGTAACTGTGGCCAAGGAGGTATGAACTATATGAAAAAACAGGCTCCTTTAGTGCTGATTGCTTATTTTTACTTCTTCAAAAGTTAAAGGCAGTACTCAGCAAGTCAGATTGCTGTTTAGGACTCTTTGATGTTAATAGGAATATGTTAATGTTGGAGATAATGTTCTTTTGAAGTTTATGTACTCTATTTTTGTTAACATCAATAAGCTGTTTTTGTATGCAGATTGAGCTCGAAGATCCTGTCGAAAACATTGGTGCAAGGCTTGTTAGAGAAGCGGCGTCTAAAACTAATGATTTAGCAGGTGATGGGACCACTACATCTGTAGTCCTAGCACAAGGTTTGATTGCCGAAGGTGTAAAGGTGTGAGGAAATTACACATAATTAATCAATGTACACCTCTAGTATAATGTTATTTGGCGTTGGGAACAACATGCTTGACCAATAAGTGATTATATATTTCCAGATTGTATTGGCTGGGGCAAATCCTATACAAATAGCCAAGGGGATTGAGAATACAGCAAAAGGTTTAATATCTGAGCTGAAGTTGATGTCCAAAGAGGTAAGCTGTTTCCTGCCGCTGTAATAGTTGTCAATAATGCTTCACAGCTAAACATGGTTTTTTTTTGCATAAAATTTACAGGTTGAAGACAACGAACTTGCAGATGTTGCTGCTGTTAGTGCAGGAAATAATTATCAAATAGGCAATATGGTTGCCGATGCTCTGAGCAAAGTGGGGCGCAAGGGTGTAGTAACTCTCGAAGAAGGAACAAGTGCTTCGGACAGCTTATATGTTGTTGAAGGAATGCAATTTGACCGTGGCTATTTCTCACCATACTTTGTTACTGATAGTGAGAAAATGATTGTTCAGTACGAAAACTGCAAGGTATATATCCTGAATTTGAGTACAAATTTGTGCCTAATGTGTTGTACCACTTAGGATGATTAATGTCTTGTTGGCTATGTAGTTGCTCTTGGTTGACAAGAAGATTACAAATGCAAGAGAGCTTGTTAATGTCCTGGAAGATGCGATTAAAAACAACTATGCAATTTTGGTTATGGCGGAAGATATAGAGCAAGAACCTCTTGCTACACTAGTTGTAAACAAACTCAGAGGATCACTTAAGATTGCTGCAATGAGAGCACCAGGTTTTGGAGATCGTAGACACCAATATCTTGATGACATTGCTATCCTTACAGGAGGTTAGTAGCCTGAATATCAGAATGTTATCATTTACATCAAGTCCCTCAACTTTCTGGGTGCTAACTGAATTAATAACAGGAACTGTGATCAGAGATGAGGTTGGTTTGTCACTAGACCAAGCTGGCAAAGAGGTGTTGGGACATGCTGCGAAGATTGTGCTAACCAAGGAGACAGCTACCATTGTTGGGGATGGAACCACACAAGAAGCCGTTGCTAGGAGAATTTCCCAAATTAAGAAGCAAGCTGAGGTGCTAGTGTTGATCCTCTAATAACTTCACTTGTTTGGCTGTTAAACTGTAGAATTTTGAGCCTGATATAGATAACATTGGTTTTCAGGATGAAGAGACTGCTTATGAGAAAGACAAACTAAATGAAAGAATTGCAAAACTTTCCAGTGGCGTTGCTGTCATCCAGGTGATTCTTCATGAACTTAAGACATGCTACCAAATTTTCTTCCCTAAATATTTTTCATATGTTTTCCTTCTTTATTGATTGTTCCCACAGGTTGGAGCACGAACTGAGACAGAGCTTAAAGAAAGGAAGTTGAGGGTAGAGGATGCACTTTGTGCAACAAAGGTATCCTCTGTGATTTTATGACTCACCCTCCTATAGTTTATAAAACTGACTCAAACTTGTAATCTTGTCAGGCAGCAGTAGAGGAAGGTATAGTTGTAGGTGGAGGGTGCACCTTGCTGCGCCTAGCGGCTAAAGTAGATGCCATCAAAGAGAGACTTGAAAATGATGAGCAAAAGGTTCTCTTTGTCAAAATCATCCCTTATTGAGTTATTGATCATAATGATGTCAAATTCTCTCCCCTACTAGATGAACTGAGATTTAGAATTCATACATATTTTCAGCTTGGAGCAGATATTGTCAAAAGAGCGCTAAGTTATCCACTGGATCTGATTGCCAAGAATGCAGGAGTTAATGGAGCAGTAGTAATTGAAAAGGTCAAGATAAGGCATTTTAAGCTATCATATACATTATGATAACTATGTGAATTGGAAAATCTTTCAACTACGTATTATTGATCAATGCATTTTATATTTTCAGGTGCTCTCTAATGACAACCTGAGATTTGGATACAATGCTTCAACCGGACAATACGAGGATCTGATGGCTGTTGGAATCATAGATCCCACTAAGGTTTGATTTTATATATTTTTTGTTTCGTATTATATCCTTAAGCTTAGGGTGATGCATTTACATGACTATCAATTGCTCAATTCCAAGATCAAATAGTGAAGGCTGAAGGGTAATTGAGATGAAGATGGTTTCTTTCTCTGTATTAACGAATTGCAATTTGCAGGTGGTAAGATGCTGCTTGGAACATGCTGCATCTGTAGCAAAGACATTCCTAACATCAGATGCTGTGGTTACTGAGATCCCAGAGCCAGAACCTGCTCCTATGGAAAACCCAATGGACAACTCTGGTATGTCCGTTCTTGTTTTTTCCTGTAATGCTAGTTACTTTCATACATATTTTAATTTTCTTTCTAAACCATATTTCTGTTACAGGTTTCGGGTATTAAGCTCTGTGTTCACGGTTCTGCAAAACAACCTTCAACCATTACGGATACTTGACCATCCATGTTGCAGATCAGCATAAATCTGAACGAGAATTCTTGAAAATCAGGATTGAGATAAACATTATCCGAGTGGCATTATGACAGGAAATTTTGATCGAGATGGTGTCTCTTGTTGGTGTTTCATATTTTGTTGAGCTGCTTTGAAATGGATAGTGGCCGGGATCGTAGCTCTGATTTAGGAAGATATAGGTGGTATTCTGTGTGAGAAGCTAACTAATCCCAATTTTGAGTGTAATGATAATAATTACAAACCAATCTATCTTGTTTATTTTGTTGTCACCGACAGTTTCAAATTTTGTAAGCAAATAATAGGATTCTCCATTTTTGTCGTCAATTTTCAAAATTAAAATAGGAATACAAACTTTTGAGATTTCAAAATGAAAATTGTAAACTAACTTGATACATAAGATATACCTAAGGTCCCAATCCTAAAATCAGAAAACATTACAAAGTTCATGTATATTCAAATTAGGAATAAGCAATAAATGAGCTAATATTCTTTTTATCAACATAGGTAGACAAGAGACAAGGGGCAAGGTACAATGGTACATCTCCTTGGATACGCTCCCAAGCCATATAAGATAAAACCTTTGTTGCCATGTGACAGAATTCACCAGCCCAGTTGGGCCGCCCTTGAGACGAGCCTAACTTTATCACGGAGTTCAATTAAATTAAAGTTGCTCGAGCCTTGAACTAATGGAAAGTTATCCAAATAAATGTCCTTACATTTTCAAATCTCGAACCCAAAGACTATAATTATAGTAGAACAACTCCATTATCAGTTGATCCAAACGAAGATTGAACAAGTTATTTGGCAGGAGCAGCCGTAGTTGTTATCTTGACCAAGCATGTTTTTGGCTTTTGCTAAACATTCATTGGCCATTAGAATTAGTAGTAGTATTTTACTAAAAATCTTTCATCATAACACTAATTCTTTTTCTTTGATTGACCTCAAATAACAATTAGACAAGATGTTGAAGTAATAGTTTATTATGCAAATTAGTCATCATCATATTAGCGGTAATAATTAAAGCATGATTTGATAACACAACAATTAACAATATCCTTATAATCTTCTATCTTATAAACTGCCAATAATAATATGCCTCGTATAAGTTGATCTATGTAGTTAAATTAGATAATCATCATGTATTCAACTATGTAAAAAATGGAGGTGACTTCTAAATGGCATTATTGTATTGGCATTATACTATTTAGGAATCATACCGTACTAAATAAGGTGGTTGTTAACTGTTTTAAATTCTAATCAATGTCTTTACTATACATTCGAAGCCAAAACAAACATGTATTTTTAATTTTCAATGGCACATTACATGTTTTGTTTGTTCTAATGATTGTCACGCGGAGTTATAATTTTGTTTATTGATTTTGCTCGTCGTACATGATTTATGTTGATCGATATACAAGGTTTTGATGATTACGAACAAATAATATGGTAGTTGTCTAATTAAATTAATGTGTTGAGATGTACACATTATATATAATGAATATGTCATGATGAGATCACAAGCAACGTAAGGAATCGTGGAAATGTCATGAATATATCTAGCATGGAATTAGAAGTTTGATGCAAGTTATGATTGAAACTTCGAGTTTATTTGCAACAAGAGTTTACACTGAATTAGATGTTAGTTTCCATGTGGTAGACATGGTAGTCTTGCATAATTTAATACCCGCTTATATATGGATTAGACTGACTATAATCATGTTTTCTAGCTAATTAATGTCTAATTGTTTAGTTACTATGCTACTCCGTATTTTTTTTTAAAAAAAGGCAGTTACTTACTATTGCTTATTTAATGTGCAAAATAGGTGGGTTTTTTTTTTTTGTTTGGGGGGGGGGGGGGGATGAAAATAGGTGGTTATTTACATGAAGTGGAATAATTTTAGGAGCATTGAAAGTTAATGTATGTCTTTCTTGTTTGCTTTAACTTTTTATTTCATGCATATCAATGCATTATTTAACTCTAATATTTTTATTTATTAATAAGTACGGATTAAAAGTTATAAAATTTTAATACAATGAATATATATTTTGAGGCAAATTTAATAGATATCACAATATGACTATACATTTAGGTCCTGTTCTGTTCACCTTATTTCCACTTATTTCAAGGTTAATAAGTTCAGATAAGGGTTAATAAGTTTAGATAAGATAAGTTCAGGAAAAATAAATTCTGATAAGTTGTGATAAGGGTTAATCAGGGCTACCCTAGTTTAATTTATAACAAAATAAGTTCTAATAAAGGCTTATAAGTTCAGATAAGTTCAGATAAGATCGAATAAGTTCAGATAAATTCAGATAAGTAAAAATCAGTGAATAGAACGCACCCTCAGTCTTTTGCATAACTATAAGTCTATAAATCATAACTACAAGTCAACGTATGTAAATAGTGCATATATCATCAAAGTATTGTAGGTAAAATGAAACACATGAAGTATTATATAACACATAGTTAGCAAATTAGAAAATAAAAAAAGTATAGGTATCAACAAATTTAATTGACTAAAGTCTTGAAAACTAATAATATTCAAGATATTAAATTAAATTTCGTCTACATATATCATTACCTTTATGACTCTTTCACACTAATAAAAAAATCAGAAAGTAACACTACAATTATAATAAAATAAGGCGAAGCATCAAGATATAAGTGTTATAGAGTTAAGAGAAGGCTTATTAGAGTTGAGCTTTTGAGCTTGAGAATTGTGAGTGTTAACGTTGTAGTGGGGAAATGGTTATTAAGACTTTAACCGTTTAAGGAACTATGTAATTTTGAGAAAGGTTTTTTCTATATAAATAATGGATTTAATAATAGATAACTCAAAATCTCAAATACTCTACCAAGTAAATATATAGAGCGTCATTCCAAAACAGGGTAAAAGTCTTCCATTAAACGTAAATAATCTAATATCATATTATATTATATCACTAATAAATAAAGTCGGTCTCGCAGCTAGGCCACGAGACAGCGATACTCGGCATTTCAGTTTTTCGTCAAGTGTCGCACCACGTAGGCGACAAATAGGTATTATTGTGACACATATGACGCTAAGTAAGCGATTTTCGGATAAATTTTTTAAGATAAAAATATTATATATAGTTTTATCATCACTATACTTCTAATGTTTCATATATACAAAATTAATCATAACTTTTAATAAATATCCTATAACTCAGTTTTATTTCCATCATAAAATTCGTGTCAAACAGTTCTTTAAAATAAGATCAATTTATAATATATTTAATTTAGTAAAAAAATAATAGAGAATCAACAAAAATAAGTTTTAACCGGTAAAAATAATTTTGGTTTGGTAAAAATACTTTCAGTTCAGTAAAAATAATTTAAATTCAATAACAATAATTTCAAGTCAATAATAACATAGATATTTATTTACAAACAAAATTACAAAAAGTACACTATTCTATAAATAAGCGATATGATATCGTATGTCTAAATATCATGCATTATCAAAAGGGATTACATGACCGTATTAATAAATATTCAAGCCAAAAAGTTTATCCTAAAATTTTATCAACAATCCGGGCATCGCCCGAGCACAAAACTAGTATATATATATAAAGGGGAGTTTTTTCCCGAGTTTTTAGAGCGCCACCTAGGATTTTATTTTTTATAAAATTATTAGAGTGCCACTTAGGATTATTATTTTTTAAACGCTACAATCAGATTATGCCACGTAAGATTAATTTTTTTAAAGCGCTACGTAGGATTATAATAAAAAAGTGCCACGTATGATTAATAATTTTAAAACGCTACAATAGGATTATGCCACGTAAGATTAATTTTAGAGTGTCACATAGGAAAATGTTATATTTTAGCCAATAAAAAAAAATTGCAATTTATTTTAGATCAAAAATTTTATATTAACTACAAAAATATAATCAGCGTGTTTTTTGTGTGGCTGGTTATCGTGTGGCCGGATGAGACACATCCAAACACTGACCGAATAACCCCTGATCGATTGAGTAGCCCTTGATCAACCCAGTAACTCCTGACCAGGTAATCCTGACCACACGGTGTGACCAGCCACATACAAAACTTTGTAAAATAAAATATTATCTATTCATATTACAAATTTTATCTAAATATGAGAAAAAAAGTTAATAATTTTATAATAAAAAAATTCAAGTGGTAAGCAAGCGAATATCACAAAGGTTATTAGATAAATATATATTTAGTAAAATATTTTATTTGAAAAAATACAAATAAACGTGCATCCCACGGACTTCATCTAGTAGTATAATACAAGCTAGGATATTTCATACTCCATATGATGTTGATACTATATTGAGTGTCATAAGTTGACTTAGCTCAGATTTTGTCCATCATTCAATTTGGTCATGTGTGATAATTATATTAGTGACAATCTTACCCTTAATTACTACAATTGTACATGACCAAAATGAACATGGGTCATGTATCATTGTACTATTGTTTCAAAAAAATGTATCATTGTACTAGTAATTATTATTTTTTAAGAGTAACGTGTCTGAAATGTTAGTAAAACTTTTATCTCCATGTCCATACAATCAACCCGAGATATGTAACACTTTATACGGAGTATATGACTTTAATTTTCTAATTCGCACATTCTTATATAAAAAATAAACTAACCCTAGCTACAAATGGACTTCTAGATGGGGTTAACACATGCATGTCTCCTAGTGAACTAGTGGAAAAAGTAAAGTCTAAAGTCCAAAGTTAACTAAATGCCTAAAAGGGCATGCATGAAAATGAAAACAAGCCCAACCATCTCATTATATCACCAAGACAAATATTTACGAAGTATTTGAATACTACATCAAAATTTAGCTAATCTTGTGTAGTGAAGTGTGTGCGCTTCTCGTTGATTCTTGTCCGTACATGACTCTTTCATACAAAAAAGTGAGTTGGATATTACAAAACAAATGGTCATTTTCATCTTACATGTCATTTTTGGCTAACAATCGCAATTATTTAAGGTGGGGGGCCTTAACCTCATTAAAGAAACTTTTCATTTATTTATTTTCTTTGACAAGAAACTACAAAAGTACATTAGAAATCACATTTTTCTTCCTTATGACTCCTCATGTAATTGAAACTACTCTTTTCGATTCATTTTAATTATCATAAATTATTTTACCGACATTTTAAAAATTTATATGAAAAAATAGACAAAAAAAGTGTATATTCCACATTTAGAAAAAAAGGAAGAGAGAGAAAATTTTTTACATAAAATGATAATGTTCGTTGCAA